CTGTGTCGGCCACGTACACCGCCTGGCCTTGTTCCACAACCGCCACTAGACCTACTTCACCAACGGTACCACACTCGCCTGGGGGGACTGCCACGCCTGGTCTTCCACGGAGTACACGTCGCTCTCATGCTCCACCACTTGCACTAGAACGGCCTCCTCCGTCGCGCACTTTTTTTTGGTGTGGCCCCACCCCTCGCTGCGCGCACACCACTGTACGAAGTCCTTCTCGTTGGTAGTGCAGCCGATCGCTTGATGTCCACGATGTCCACACCTAAAGCACCGGCCCGGGAACTTATAGTCCCCGCCACCGCCGCCATCGGCGCCTCCACTGCTGCTTCCCTTGCTCTCCTCGACTCCTCCGGATCCGTCTGAGCGGCCGCCGCGACCGCCGCCGCCGCCGCCGCGACCGCCTCCGCCGCGGCCACGACTGCTGCTGCGGCCACGGCCGCCGCCACGACCACGACCTTGCCCCTGACTCCTACTTGAGTACCGCTCCCTGCGGCCCTCGCCGTCGGCGAAGTACGCTTGCTCTGCGTTCTTCGCCCCTTTTCCTTTCCCCTGCTCCAGCGTGTCTTTGATCGCCTTGTACTCGATCATTACTTCCTTTAGCACACCGGTCCGCGTGAACTCCTTCGCGTGTCGCAGGTTGTGCTTTGTCATGGCATACTCGTCCGAAAGGGCATCCAGGAAGAGGTGAAGGACGAACGTTTCGTTGACAGTTTGTCCTTTCTCGGTTAAGGACTTTGCGGTTTGGAGCATCTTATTGAGGGCGTACTGGGGGTTTTCACCTCTAGAGACTATACCAAAACATAAGAAAGAAAGATCGTTCAAAGAAACATGAATGAATGCTACATCGCGCGTGACGAGTCCTTGGCGCGGAAAATGAAAACAAAACCAATAGCAACTCATCAGAAAAACAATTAACACTCATTCCAAATTCATAACAATATCACGGTGAGACTCAAAGTGTCCTTCGGCAAGCCCTTCGTATGAAAATCTGCACGCTGGAATGGCGACGGCACGTGGATCAAACTTCCTTCCTCTCTACCAGTTCTCTGAGACAATGGTGCCTTACATTTATATGCTTCGAGTTCGAGCTTGAGATGGGGTTCTGCGCTAGTTGAATCGCCCCCTGGCTGTCCTCGAAGACTGGGATGCACGGCATGCCGACCTGCGGCAACATGAAACGCCAAATCTGCCTCAAAAACAAGGTCTCCTTCACTATGCCACCAAGCGCGAAGTACTCTGCTTCAGTCTCCGAAAGCGTAACACCCTTCTGCGTTCTGGAAAACCAAGACACAGCGCCTCCTCCACACGTGACGATCCCCCCTGATACCGACCTACGGTCTGCTGCCTTGCTTGCAAAGTCCGCGTCAGCGTACCCCTGCAAACTGAACCCTTTACCGCACTTCTCTGAAATGAAATACCAAAGTGACTCGTCCTCCTCGCATAGCCTAAAATATCCATCGCTGCATTCCAGTGTACCAGCTTCGGAGATGCGCAATGCCTCGCTACTGCCCTTACTGCATTCGCAATATCTGGCCTAGTTTGAGTCGCCAGCCACATCAAAGATCCTACCAGCTCACGAAACGGACAGTCTATCTCTGTCTCATCCACATCAATATCAGAAAGCTTCACCCCCGAAGACATCGGAACGCTCTAACCTCCCACTACTCCATACTCTGCTGCTAGCTCATCCGTGAAAGTCTGCTGAGAAATCGTCAACCTACCGGTCTCCCTTGTTCCTCTCGTAACTGCACCCAGAATACCATCTCAACTCTCCCAGGTTCTTCACTGGCACGGACTTGTTAAGGTCGGCGCCAAACTTGTCATATCTCTCCCTCTCTCCCACAGCAAAAATGTCACCTACATGTACTACCAAAATCAAAACACCACATCCATCCTCAATCAAACGAAACATACAAGCATCGGCCATGCAAGGCTCAAAATCTAACGCCACCAAACAGCTCTTCAGCATTGCATGCCACTGCCTAGGTGACTGTCTCAAGCCATACAGACTCTTGCCAAGTTTTGCAATCATTCCAGATAGAGCTCCACATCCCTGCGGCAAACGCATGTACACGTCTTCCTCCAACTCCGAACGCACAAAAGCTTGCTCAATATCGAAATGACAAAAGTAGAGGTTCAACTCTCACGTCAAAGCAGCCAACATCCTAACACACGAAACAGAAACGGTAGGCGCGTACAACCCTCCAAAGTCCATGTACTCTCTCTGCATATCAGCTCTCGCTACAAGTCTCGACTTAACCTTAGTGGGCCATCCAAACTCATCTNAAAGTAGAGGTTCAACTCTCACGTCAAAGCAGCCAACATCCTAACACACGAAACAGAAACGGTAGGCGCGTACAACCCTCCAAAGTCCATGTACTCTCTCTGCATATCAGCTCTCGCTACAAGTCTCGACTTAACCTTAGTGGGCCATCCAAACTCATCTGCCTTCCAATCGAATACCCATTTAGCGTTAATTGCGTTCTCCACTTTTTGCTACTTCGCCGGAGTAAGAGTCCCCGCTTCCAACAAGCTAAAAACTTCCTTTGCGTAGAGTCGCTCCACAGGTGCCGGTGCTCCGACGCCATGGCCATTTCATAGCTCTTTGGAACACTGAGGTCGCTGGCCTGGCAGTGCGGAAGGTCAGGGCGTTGCTCCGGCAGGCGCTGGTCTCGCAGCGTGGCGTCGATGTCTTCCCGGTTGACGATGAGCGTGGCAAATGCGAGTGGAAAGCCCGCTCCTCCAGCCCCCGGGTCCACCGCTGCGAGTACTCCCGCCTGCTCTCCGCCCCCCGCTCCCCCCGGCCCTCCGCCGCCCTCCCCAGCTCCCTGCGCTCCTCATCCACCGCGCTCCGAGCCTCCAGCATCGACACCAGAATGTTCTTGTCTAGCATCGAGACGAGTCCCTGTGCTGTGCCTTGTGCCCGATCTCGTACGGCTTGGCAGCCGCGGGTCTGTCATAACCTCGGCCTTTGTACCCGGGCGAAGCTGCCGCATGGCGTGAGCCGTAAGCGGGGGCATCGTGGGGTCCGGCGGCGACGGCGGCTGGTCTGGATCGGGAGTCGCCGGCGGTGACGGTGAAGCGGCAGAGGACGGCTGGCCAGGAGCGGGGGTCGCCGACGGTGACGGTGAAGTGGCATAGGGCGGCTGTGAAGGCGTGGGAGCGGGCNACGATGAGCGTGGCAAATGCGAGTGGAAAGCCCGCTCCTCCAGCCCCCGGGTCCNGCGGGAGCGGGCGACGGCGTGGGCGCTGGCGGTGGCGGTGTGGCGGTCGAAGGCGTCGGTGGTGGGCCCAAGTTGATCGAGACGACCGGCGGCGTGAACGGGGGGGGTGTCGNTGAAGTGGCATAGGGCGGCTGTGAAGGCGTGGGAGCGGGCGGCGGCGTGGTCGCTGGCGGCNCTGGATCGGGAGTCGCCGGCGGTGACGGTGAAGCGGCAGAGGACGGCTGGCCAGGAGCGGGGGTCGCCGACGGTGACGGTGAAGTGGCATAGGGCGGCTGTGAAGGCGTGGGAGCGGGCGGCGGCGTGGTCGCTGGCGGCGGCGGTGCGGCGGTCGAAGGCGTCGGTGGTGGGCCCAAGTTGATCGAGACGACCGGCGGCGTGAACGGGGGGGGTGTCGGCGCAGCGGTAATACCAGCGGAACCCCCCTCGCCGGCTGGCGCCGACGTCACCCACGACACGTTGTTGGTGTAGACGACGCGGCCGGTGGACGCCTTGAGGACCTTGACGGTGACGCTCGGGTAGTTGTCGCCGCCGTTCACGTAGTAGCAGAGGGTGGCCTGGTCGTCGAGCTTGGTGCGGCGATCCTCACGCATGAAGCCGGGCTGGAAGAACGGCAGCACGCGGAAAGGCCCCTGCTCGCCGGTGAACATCGCGTGCGGCGAGCGCCGCCCGGGGTTAGCCTTGGTCGCCGAGTGGTTGAGAGCGGCCCATTTCGCCGATTCCATCCAACGACGGTCACCGCGCGCGTCGAGGCCGGGGATGGAGGCGAAGTCGACGTTGAATTCACAGCCAGCGCTGTGGCGGGCGGCCATGCCGGCCTTCATGATGCGCCAGATGGCGCTCTCGACGACGCCGTTGTACTGCGGAACGCCAGGCGGGGTGAACTCGACGCCGATGCCGTTGTCGTCGCAGAAGCGCCGGAAGTCGCCGCAGGTCCACTCGGTGCCGTTGTCGACGCGGAAACACTCGATGCGCCCGAGGTCGTACCGCCCCACGTCCGCCAGCAGTCTTGTCGTTGCCGCCAGCGTGTCGGATTTCCGCCGGAGACCGTAGACGTTGTTCCACCGCGAGGCGCTGTCCACGGCGACGAACAGGTAGAGGTTGCCGCCCAGGGAAGGCACCAGCGGTCCACACAGGTCCAGGTGAACACGCCCGAGGGGCTTAGACGCCCGCGCTCCCGGCCCCCGCGGCACCGACCCTCGCCTGCCCTTCGCCCGCATGCAGTCAGTGCACGGTTCCAGCTTGCCCGTGAGCACGATGCCTATCTGCTGGGCAGTTTCTCTCAAAAGAGGCTCGCAAGTGTGGGCAAGGGAGCGGTGGAAGCGGTTGGTGTCAACGGATTTTTCAGTCGAACCAAGAGCAACCGGGGACGCACCAGGGCCAAGCACGGCCGCACCCAAGGAAAGTCAGCACCCCCATCAATGCTATCCAAAACACCAGCCACATTCGCAGCGTCACTCTCTGGGATAAACACGGGGAAAAATCTTGATACGGGGTGTCATCATAGCCATCCATGAGCTGCTCGTCAGTGAGCACACTCGTTTCTCCAAGATCTATACCCGGAAAAGTACCCACACACACAAACTCGGACGCCAAGGAAGGTACTACGTCTGCAGAGCCGGCGGGCGGGACGCTCTCACTCGTAGGTACTACCCTGGTGGGAGCAGTGGGCGGGACGCTATCAGCCGAAGGTACTACGCTAGCGGAGCCAGCGGGAGGAACACGCAACAAGTACACCAATGATTTCGCGGAGTCCCTCCCTCATTTGGAAAGGGGAATCGCGGAGCCAACGGCGGGGGCGGAATCGGGGGCAGTCACGAATGCGGGCAAAGCAGCAGAGTCTACTTTAGTCGCAGATGGGTCGTACGGCAACCGCATGGCATTCGCTGCAGACGCTTTGGCTCCTGAGTCAGCTACCCATCTCTCGCTACCAGGCGGCCTCTCACTAGATTCCACACTCAGCAAAGACGAAGCAGTCGCAGCAGACTCTACTCCAATCGTCACTCCTACCCTACCGAAAAAATCCTCGTGGTGAGACTTGCCTAGAGGCGCCGATTGTGCCGTGCAGAGGTGGAGGTAGCCCGAAGACGGAGGCACGCCAGGAGAAGGAGTAGAGGACGAGGAGGAAGCGGTGGTGCTCCTGCTCGCGGGGGGGGGCTGATGTGGCTGCTCGAATGACGAATCTTCGCCAGCGGGAGGGTAGTAGACTCAGTGGATGCCGCCGTCAGATGAGCGGCTGTCTTCGTGCCTGGAGGAGTAGCTGCAGCTGTCCCCACCGCTGGCGTAGTGTGCGTACCCGGCGTCGCGGAAGCCGTCGTCGTAGAAGTATCCATAGTCGTAGTCTTCGTTGTAGCCACCATCATCGTGGGCGTAGTACACAACGTACGCCTACTCTCTTCCATGGCCAGAACGCGCGTGCCCCGGGCCTCTCCCTGCCCGCTCTCTCTCGGCACGACCGTCGCTGCTGTGGCGTCCCGCGGGCCCACGACCCCCCGGGTGACGCCCCAGACGACCACCAGGCCCACGTCCACGAAGAGGTCTCGGGGTGGGTGAGGCTTGGCTCCAGCCACCGCCACCATGACCGGTGTGGTTCTGCTGCCCTTCTAGCCGCACCCATCGGCCGCCACCGCGGCCTGACCCCGGCGGCGGTCTACCCCCTTGCTGGCTACCGCCGCCACCGCGGCTGCCGCCGCCCGAGCGGCGTTCCGCTGCGCCCCTTTTCGAACGCGCGCCCCGCAGTTTCTGCTGGAGACCATACTGCTCGTTGGTGTGAAGCTCGGACTGGTAGTAGCGGCNTTCCAGCCACCGCCACCATGACCGATGTGGTGCTGCTGCCCTTCAATCCCCACCCATCGCCCGCCACCGCGGCCGGGCCTCGGCGGCGGTTTACCCCCTCGCTGGCTACCGCCGCCACCGCGGCTGCCGCCTCCCGAGCGGCGTTCCTCGGCGCCCTCTCTCGAACGCGCGCGCCGCAGTTGCTGCTGGAAACGACACTGCTTGTTGGTGTGAAGCTCGGACTGGTGGCAGTGGCAAAATCCGTAGGGGTCGTCGTTGAACATGTCACCCTTTTTCTTCCGCCGTCTCGATCTTGGCCGCCAGCTGCTGCGTGACCGCCGTCTTCACCCCTGGATGCTCCCCCACTGCCCCCGCCGCGCCCCATGCCGGACGCAATGAGAGCGAGCTCCATCTCGCGCCTCTCCCGCTTGTTCCTCTCGCGCTCCATCTCCACGTGGGCGCCCCTCACCACAGTCTCAAGGGTACGCAACGTCAGGACATCGTGGGCAAGCAGTATTCCTTTTTGCACGACATACGAAGAGGGAAGGCCACGAGCAATGTCTTTGTTGGCATCTGTTTCATCCTTNACGAAGAGGGAAGGCCACGAGCAATGTCTTTGTTGGCATCTGTTTTATCCTCAATCATGCCTACAGACGCTAGACGCACGCGAAAGGCTTCTGTCCGGGCAAAATAGTCCTGTGGACTCTCCGACGCTTTCATCTCCAACTCCTTCCAGTCCTGCTCCAACCTCGACTTTTCTGACTACTTCTTCTCCTGATAGAACCCTGTCACTATTTTCCAGCCTTATTGTGGACTCTCACACGCCAGAGTCAAGCTCTGAATCGGGGGGTACAAAACCTTGCTGATGAGAATATTCCATAGCTTGAAAGACTTGTCTACCACATCATTGCCGAAAAGTCTCCGAAGCTCTGCTACATTCACACCCCTTCCGACCTTGACCTCGACCTCCAGTTCCAACGCATCATGCACACCCTCCTCCTGAGAATATGAAATCATCTTACCCCGAAAAATATCATACACAATATACAAGTCCTGCTCCTTCTTCACGCTACCAAGCCAAGGTTCTATTTCTGAGCCAGGATTGACACGTAACGTGCCTGAGCGGGCAAATCCCTGTCGTTCAGCAATGGCCTCAGCTGTCGCCTTAGCCGCTTGCGCCACGATGTGTGCGACGCTGCTGGGGTCGTTGAAGGTGGCTGGTTTGCCCTGGCTGGAGGGTGATGGCTGGTTGCCAGTAGGTGGGACTAGGTTGACGGCTTGTGGTTGGGCGTAGGTGACTTCACCCTCGTTGATCCTGTAGGCTTCAAGTTCGGCTTGCACTCGTTGCTGGACGATCTCCTCCACTTTTTGTTGTAGTTCTTCCCCGCTAAGAGCGGAGAGGTCGATGCCCTCCATGGTGTCTGTTGTTATGGGAGTGTGCCGATTGCGCGTGACTGCAAACTACGCGGGGTGCAGCAAGCACGTCCTGGGCGTTACTTGGGGCCCTGGGTAGTCGGCCGTGTAAGGCCGAGAGAGAGAGGTGGTGAGAGAGGTGGAGAGAGAGTGGGAGAAGGAAACTGAAGAGAGACGGCGGTGATGGTAGAGAGAGAGAAGGAAGAAGTGCGCAGCACGCACGCAACCCTCATCATACCAACCGCGCAGGAGGGCACGGGGATTGCAATCCCATACACCTATGCTAATAAATCACGATAAGGCGAAATCCTGGGGGAGGGGGGGGGGGGGGGGGGGGG